AAATGTAAACTAAAGCTTTTCAGCTTTTCAGCATAAAAAATGTTAAAAACTTGCTTTTCATTAAACTAATTCAGGCAGTAGCCTATAGACCTTTTTTTTAAGTAAAGGCCATTATAATGAATTGTAATATTAATATGAATTAATATTATTGTAATATCAGCTATGGTTTGTGGTGTGAGACTTGTTCATTGTACTATGTTATTATTTCAAATTTGTAATCCTGATAATAATCCCCATTTAGTTAATGTAATCTTATTACATATTTCTTTTTTTTTTCCCTGTAATTGATTACAGTCACTTTTTTGTATCCTGATTACCAAAGCCTGATTGTGAGGTAGTGGATTTATTTGTTATTCGTGTGAATGAAGAGAGTCACAGAGAAGGAAAGCTGGCTGTTTATTCTCATGAAGTAATGCTACTATTAAACTACTTCAGCACAAATTAACTGTATTAGCGAAATTCAAGTGAAATTTTGTTTAGTTATATGTTGCTGTTAACATATGCTTAAGTTACCTGTGCGTGCAGTAAAAGGAAGTATAACATGGTTTTGTATTTGCGTCTCTAAAATGTGAGTCGCTGTGCAATTTATGGACTTGGCACAACAGCTGTAACTTTATTAATCATTTCTATAATTTAACCCCATGGAGACAGGATCGGTAAGGATGGCAAATAATATGGTACTTTACAATTCAGACAGGCGCCTTTCTTCGACCAGTGGTCTATTGGAGCTCTTAGGAAATTTTTATTTTACTGTAAATAAAAAACAGATCTGTCTACTCTGGAAAGACAAAAATATTTTCCTGTCCTGTCAAGTTTATTATTGGGAAGATTTTTCATTTTAGCTGCTTAAAGCATCAAAGTTTCCCAGTATTTGCTGTTGTGGCATTGTTGTAGCAAATGGATTTGTGATGCTCACAGTATTTTTAAAAAGCATTTGAAATTCAGAATCAGTGGCCAATACAAACCTGTATTCTGATGACTTGGTATCTTTTGTATTATGCCTGCATATTTAATACTGGTATTTCATTCAAAAATAGTAATGCTTCACTTGCAAAATGCCACTGAGACTCATCCTGTAATGTGACATTTAACCAATGGAATTTGGTGCTAATTGTAAGTAAGTATCTCACTCTCTTTCCTGCATCTCTCCCTCAGCACTGCTGGCCAGCAGGGTGGAAGTAGACACCAGATGCCCCCTCGGCCATTTCCCATGTGGGAACATAAGTGAGTGCCTTCCACAGGCTTTGCAGTGTAATGGACACAAGGATTGTCCCAATGGAGCTGACGAGCGTCGCTGTGGTAAGTGTGTGTATGTAAATTAAGCCTCAGAACGTTTAGGGTGACCGAGAAATACTGCCAGCAAAAAATAAATGATAATTTTTTATTTTGTTACTGTACCTAAAACTGTAGCTTAACACAATGAGTGTTTATCAGTCTTCCCCTAAAAAGGCTCATTACATTCCTTCCCTCTGCCAACTGATGCGACTGATTGCTGTCGACAAATATCAACAAAATAAACAAACTTCAACACAAATCTACTTTCATTGCACATAAAGGCTAAAACCTGATTCATCTTAGCTTCATTTCACAAATTTGCCTTTTTACAGCATGTAAGTTTGATTTTGTGTATCCATACAAGTGGAAGACAGAGAAATCATCCAGCTAGTTTCAACAAAAAGACAAATGCTGTACGAGTCTCATTACGGCAATGGCAGCAAAAGTAGAAATTCTCATTTTACATCTACAGACAAAGGGTGAACGTTAAGAATACAATTTACCTTGAATATAGTGTCTTTTGTCATGGTTTTCCCTACAAGCAGAGTTTAAACTCAACCACATTGTGGTCTCTGTACTTTACGGCAAATGTATCAGACTCTTCTCTGATCAGCAGGAAGAAAAAAAAAAGCCAAGAGAAGTTCATTATTAGCAGAGACTTGCCCATGTCCTCTCCAAGTGAGTTAGTAAGAGCAGGTAAAATCAAGTAATTATTAAAAGTCCTTAAATCAACTCCCATATCCAAGCTGTGCCAGAGAATTTGAAAAAAAGTGAAGAGGATTTTGGATTCCTTTATATCCAAGTGATATTTTAAACCTTTGTCAGTATGGACATGCATCATGACCATACTGACAACATTGTTAGATTAGTTAGATTCTCCACAATTCAGTTGTTAGTTCATTTTACAAAAACCATGAGCACCAAAGTATCAAATTATCAAATCTTAAAATACAATTGCTTAATTTTTATACTATACTATATATTATAAGTAATATACCTATTTAAATAAACAATTTCGTAGTATTGTCCATCTTTGCCCTGTAAGAGTTTTGTGCAAAAGGAATTAGACGCCTCTTCCAAATAAAGCCAGGTTGAGTTCAGAAGCAAATTTAAGTCCGGTCTATTAACTGAAGTTTTTTGGTAGTGACTTATTGAGAAAAAAACATGCCATAAGAATTTGAAAAAAGTTATAATCACATAAAACTTTTGCACGTAGTGGCTTTATATATCAAACACAGCCAAAAAGAGAGATTCAACAGTTACTGTTCCCTACATTCACAAAGGAACAGGCTGCTCGTCAGTAGATTAGTGAGGGCTTCACTGACATCAAAGCACAGCTTTGTGCCAGCAACCTAAACCAACCTCCTGGGAGAGCTCACAGATTTATGCCATTCTGACAGTTTATTATAAAGACATACCACTGGAGTCATTCTGGTCAAGTGTGGACTAGAATGACTGCCATGATGCAGCAGTGAAGAGTCCGTTCATTTTACACCATGGCAGCAACTGAAATGTTTAATAAAATCAAAAATTTAGGATGACATGCTTGTTGCATTGGTGATACAGTTAGAAAGTGCTCACAGCAGTCCTTGTGTATTGATGGATTTAGCAAAGGAGGAAAGGAACAGGTTCAGATCTTATTTGGCTCAGTATAAATCATAAATGCCAGTTCAATTTGTAATGAGTTTTAAAAAGCAACAGTATCCTATCATATTACTGCACATTTATTCATTTTGAAATGCAAAGACTGTTTGTTTCATTTTGGTATTGTTTGATTAAATATTTATTAAATAATTTTAACCAGAGCATTGGAGAGAGTCACTTTGATTTGAGTTTTGAGAACAAACAGTTCTTGTATCTTGGCAAAAACCCCCAGACCCAGACTTCCAGAACCCACTGGACCGTTGCTGTCCTGTATCCCTCAGGATCTTGGGCCATCTGGAGTATGAGCCACTGGAAAAAAAAACTCCTCACCACACTCTGTATTCTCAAAAACCTGCTTTCGTTCCGTGATTTATGTGAGAAGAATGGTACCGTATCTGTCTGTTAGCGTCATGTTTAATATATGTGTATTAAAAAAGAGCCATTTTCAATATATACCGTAACTTCTCACACCATGTTCATTGTTCACTGAAGACCAGATTGATTTTATTTTAATCTAATATACTAATGTAAATGTTTGTAAATAAGTAAAAACAATTCTGAAAGAAGAAATGACACAAGGACTTTATAGTATTAGTCATGAAATGCAGTAAACACATTTTGGTTTTTCCTACGTCCCTTTTTAAGTAACACAATATTATATTTTGAAAAACATTGTACTTTCTGCAGGGTAAAGGCATATTTTTCATATCGGCTAAATCAACAAGCACAAATTAGTCTCAGTCTGGCTGTGGTAGTATGTTCCTGCCAATAACCAGAGACCCATTCGGTGCTGTATTACTTCTCCTCATTCCCATCGTCATCATCAGGCAGCCAGACCCTACTCTCGTGTTGTACAACATTGCTGTAATAAGAATTTGGGAGAAAACATACCAATGGGCACCAGGCCCTTCCGCAGTATGCTGTACATCATCTTCACAAGCGTCTTATTACTTGTTCATTTTCAAAGATAAACACTGACCTGCTGGAAATCTTGATAAGGGTGTATACAACTTGAATATATAAACACTGCAGCCCTTGTATCTGTGGGGTCTCTGACATTTGAACGTGAATCTCTGTTTAATTTTAGGCAAATATCTGCATACACCACAGGGAATTTTGTGTAATTGCATGTGTTGGATAAAAGCAACTTGCCTAGTGCATGACCCTACACCTGCTAAATACCTGTTCTTCACGTCTGCAGTGCTTCTCTAAACTGTGCCGACTGCCGTCTACTATAGTATATAATATATACTAATACGCAGACTATAGATAGATACCTCATACAACCCCACTTCAAAAAACTATCCATTTAATTGGTAACAGGCTCAAAGAAAATCTTCACGTAAGAGGGAGTGCCATAGCATAACATTGTTTCTTTTACACCAATGTGCTAAGGTGCCAGTATCAGATAGTAAAGGATGGCCTAGTAAAATTTAGTTTTGTCAAAATGTGTGACTAGCTTTCAGTTATCTATCATCTACAGCTAATCTGAGGCTCATTCAGATATTCAGTGCCAATTAGTCTGATATAGTTGTTATAATCCCTTTTTTCTGAGTACAAAGGATGAGTGTGTAGCTTTGTTCAGGGTCGCCGTAGGTTGCTAGGTTGCAGGCATAAAAGGTGATGAAGTCATACTCAAACCGACGAGGTGGGAGTACTTAATTTTGACTTATTGATACTCATTAGAATACTAGTCAGCCAAGCACAATGCAAGGTCTGCCCTCACTGTGATGTAGTTATGTATAATAGTTACTTAGACAAAGTAGATGAGTATAAAATATTTGTCTTGATAATGAAGTTTTGCAGTAGACATTGCAATAGCCTGGAGCCAACTTGTGTTTTGATAGTACTGATCTCAATAACATAACAGATTAATACATTCAACAATATTTAGATTGTACCAAGTCCCTTGTGTTTTTGAAATTTGGCACCTGTCAGATCTCTTTACATGTTGCGAACTGACATGAATTTTAAAAATAACTGCATTGAAACGTCAGGAAATTATGCCAGAACAGTGTTTTCAGCTCAACTTCTGCAGTCTCCTGTGAGGCACATTTGACTGTAATTAAAAGTCGATATCTGAGGATCCCAGTCCAAAACCTTCAGGAAATCATCCAATGTGCAAAAATATGGCTTTCAACACTGCAGTGATTTAACAAAACAGAATGCCTCAATGCTGGTAAAGTTAATTATCATGTCCTGTACAACACTTCCTCAACCTAATCCTCATATGAGTCAAATCACAGCCATCCAGCTGATTGTTTTATTTGACCTGTCTGCAGTGTACAAATAATTATTGTTTCTTGTTTGGCTTTGCAGGGGACAATTTTGGATGGGCGGACTTATTTGGTCAAACGCTACACAATACCAATCCTGTGGACCAGTACTTCCTGAATGAGTGTTGTAAGTGTGTGTTGTGTATACAGTATTTTATATTTATATATATATATGGAAACGCTGCATGGCTCTGATGGCTCTTTAGTTAGGCAGTTGAAAAAATAGAATCCAGGAAATCTTGCTTAATGTCAAGTGGTGCAGATAACCATGGAAAAAGACTATGAATGAATTAATGTATTAAATGAATAATTCGAGCATGAGCAATAAGACAGACCAACGCTTATCGACTCTAAGTCTTAATTAGGTTTCATTGTGTCCCTTATAGGTTTCAAAATAGGTTTCATGTTGTGTCCCACATTGCCACTGCTATAACGTATAAGCATTCTGTAATAAGTCTCTATAGTTAACATTTATGAATGCTATATTAAAGTGTGTGTATGCGTGTGGGTGTAGTCTTGCAGGAGTATCCAGCGAGTTGTGACTGCATACAGACAGACGTAGAGTGCGTGGAAGTCAACCTGCAGGATGTCCCTCTACTCTCTCCAAATGTCACCTGGCTGTAAGTGTCCTCTGACTGTAATGACTCTTATACTTCTACCTTTGTAACTACCAATTTGAGTAGTCTTCACAATGCTTGTTTCCTCAAGAAGCTAATTTAGGTTAAGACCTGGTTTCAGCAGGATTTCTGACAAAAGGGCCTCGCTGAACAGAGGAATGACCTAAAAAAAACACCAAGATCCAATTACCATGACTGTTCTCAAAGGATTAGAAATCCCAGAAATGTTTAAATTTGTTGGATTTTGGTCTCAGCTATCTTTGCATTTTTATACATTTTAGCATTTTCCTCCACCTTCTTTTGTACCTGGCTTTTGGAAGTCTAAGCCTAAACCCCAGGTTTAACTTCCCGGATCTTGTTTGTAATCTGCTTAAATGAATTTGAGTGGGGTTGTGTACTGTGAGTATTGTGAGTAAAGAAAGACAAAAACTCTACTGTTGTTTATAAGTGCTGGTCAGTGTCTTGGCAGCTGTAATACCCAGTGTTTCTCTGCTGAGTGGTGGAATAGTGTCTGGTGTTTCGCTTCTGAGTGGAGAGGACTCCCTGAACAAAACAAATTGAAACCACCTCTGAATGAAATAACCATTGATTGAACACTGACTGGAGTAGCCAATAAAAAAAGATTTACTTCTGTTTAGGACATTTTCATAAACTGTGCTGTCCGTACATTCATCTCTGTCTCAGATCCTCTGCATCTGACAAGTCATTCTAGTGAGGCCTGATTGCTTAATTGAATCATCCATTCCTTTTCAATTTGGACTCTCAGTAATAAACCTCACACAATTGATTGCTCTGTTGCCTGTGAGAACCAGGAAAAAAATACTTATCGAGTCTTTAAAACGAGTCTCCTAAAACGAGTTTGAACAATTTTGTTGTTGGTTCATTAATTTCCTCAAATTGGCAAAAAATTGGTTATACCCCGATCATTATGTCTCATTTAATGAAGCCACCCTGTTTGTCCTGAATGATTGCAGAATGGTGTGATTTCTCGTTCTCTAAATCTTTAATCTTCACGAGCTAACACTAGGATGTTTGGGGACTTCACTGAGATAGTTTTGTACTTTCTGTCAGATGTCATGCACATGATTCTCATCACACTCTTGACCTTTGCGAGATATCTCGGTTTGTTTTTAAGTGGCATTTAGATTTTGGCATCGATTTCATTTGCATATTCTCATAAATATGCCATTTTCCTCTCAATGTGTCATCTTATTTATTCCGGGATTGTTAAACGAAAGGAAGCAGGTCATTTTACACGATCTTTGCTTTTATACAGGCCATCACTCTGTTTCATATTTAGAAGGTTACTCTTGATAAAGTATAAGTTCTTAAGTTAAGTGATCCATAAATCCTTGTATTTTTTCTTCAGCCGCAGACATCAAGTAACAAGTACAGAACTGGATGCTGCTGACAACAACACTTTGCTCCTGCTTTATCTTCTCTGCAGTGGCTGCTTTATAGTTGTAGAATCAATTCCACAGTTTTACTGATTACTCTTAGAGCTCTGTCTGGCCTTGCTTCGATATCGATTTTAGATTGACATATGACTAACCCAAACACAAGCCAGAGCCTAGTTTGAGATCCCATAGGACTTATTGGAACCACCTCCTGGTCTAAACAAAAAAGGTGACTGGGTTTTTGCTGTTCAGTTCAAAAACTGTTTTTAGTAGTATTTTTAATTTTCTTTCTGTTCTGTTTCTTCCATACAGCAATTTACTTGCTGTATTTCCTCTGTTTTAGTAACCTTTATTTCTAAGTTGGGAGGCAACTGATTTACAATGGCCTCTAAAAAGTTCCTCTGCTTTTATAGTATATGAACCTTTTATAGCTTGGGATACAGTTGCCTGAACTCAATCTGACCTTCAGTCTGTTTGAATATCCTTTTTGTGGAAATACATCACTAACACTGCCTGGGACTTTATGTCTTCTCATTAATTCCTCTTTGAAACTTGGTATTCAGCAGGGCTCCATGTTCAGTCTCCTTTTGAAGCTGGTTCCTCTGTGTTAGCAGTTTAGCTAATGGTTACACAATGAAAGCTACTTTTATAGTTATCTTCAAACAAATGATATGAAGAGCGAGTTTATATATTTACTGTGCTAATCTGATTTGTAAAAACTCTCTTCCTATCTGCTCCCACAAATGTAGCCTAAATAAAATCAGAAAATCAAATCTGAACTTTGAGTTGAAATATAATTTCCCCACCAGTAGATGGTGAAATGGTCTTCAAAGTTTATAAATCATTTGAACTACAACTAATATATTTCTTTCCCGTTTCAAAATGTTCTTTCCAGTCCCCACCTGGTGTGAAATAGGAGATCACCTTAGGCCATCACACCACAAAACTTTTCCTTTGAAGAAAATATATTAAACCAGAACAATACTTGCTTGTCTTTTTGTTTTTAGGTGCACACGAGCCTTTCAATGGGCTCTGATTTGTATTAATGGTCTACTCGTGTCCTTTTTTCTGTTTGGTTTTATCTTTTGTGTGTGATCCTGGACTCATCTGTATTGAAAGGCTTTTAATAACAACCTTGGTGTTAATATATTTGCTTTATAGGTGTCTGAATGTGAAAGCCCATTGTTGGAGAATATTGTTGATTTCTTTGCTGATGCATATGTGTGTTATATTGTAGTTAAATAAGCATGCAACAGCTTTTTTTTTTTTTCCTTTTTGCTACTAATGGTGTGATCTGCTGTGGTGCAAATAAGTTCAATCTTATTAAAGATTCAAACAAAGATGGCTCACTTGAAGTCTAATGCAAATGCAATTTTTGGGCTCATCAGTCATTACTGTGTCTACTCTGACAGACTGTACTTCTATTATTATTAAATCCAGAAACTCTTTTAAAGCCATTTTAGAATAAAATAGCAGTAGTTAAGATTTTTGTGTCACTGTTTATTGCTCATAACGCTTTAGACCTTTCTCTCTCTCTCTCTCTGTCTGTTTATGTGTAATGTGTGTCATGTTTTTCTAACTCTGGCATTTCATGGGTTTTGTTATAGGTCACTGAGGAGCAATGAGATCCGAGTGTTGTCAGATTTTGTTTTTTCGGAATACTCTGCCCTAGAGAGACTGTGAGTATTTTTATGCTGTTTTCCACATGTACGCAATATACATTTTTAGATCGTTTTTCTCATCATTCATGTGTTTCTTTATTCACAACTTTGTGTACAACTGTGGCTACTTCCTCAGAGTCTGTTAAAAGAGATTTTAAGTCCTTCACACAACAAGTAAACATGAATGAACAAAAATCAAAACTGGTGAATGTAACACCTTAAGAAAACATACATTGTTATACAGTTAATTAGGTAAAGGAGGTGTTTTTACTATTACACTGTTAAAGATTAGAAAAAGACAAAAGGACAAAAGAGCCAAATACATATTATTCAAAGAAACATATTTTAATAATATAGATTAGAACATGTCACCTTTTTTGGTGAATTAATTTGGTATTTTGGCAGTTTCTTCATCTTTTAACAGAAAACACTATGTATTACCATTAAACTATGCTTTTTTTTGCTTGTGTTTAAATTTAATTTGAAACATTTCACAGAAAATTTGATCACAAAACCAAAATGAGCTTAACACACACATACAAATCTATAATGTGCTGCCACATGAACATAATCCAGTTTAATGGAATAAATTCATCGGCCATGCCATGGACGTTAAGTCATTCCTGTTACTCTGTCTCTTAAGTCACGGTGGATATGATGACAGACAGTATTAATGCTCTAATGAGATTTCATTGTGAGTACGTCTCTACCAGTCAGACATTTGTGTGTTTTTAAAAATAGTTTGTGTGTGTGTTTATAAGTTACTGCATTTTACTGCAGACAGAACCAGACAAACTGGTGTCATTATGTTGATTAATTATATTATACTGGAATGATTGTATTATGTGAGACAGACTGCGGTCTATGCAAAAAGAAAAGGTTCATACATCTCATTGATGTCATGATGTGATCCAGGCAGCTAGAGGGACAGTTAGTCTCGAATCTCTTGCTTTTCAAAACTTACTGAGAAAAGCTTCATAAATAATCACGTCAAATGATAAACAAGACGGCAAAGAGGCCCAATTGTCACAACTTGACCCTCACCAATAACATTTAACATACTATTTGATTTATAGTACAACTAACAAAAGCCTCAAAAAGCAAAACCTCTGACGAATTAAAACAGAAACGTATTGCAAAATATAATATCTTGTTCCTACTTAATTTAACTCCACCCACACAACGTTACCATTTACAAAAACAAAGATATTTTAGATGACCGGATATCTGCATGCAGACTATTTAATTTGATAAAGAGTTTTATTTATCCGGGTTTCATCTGAGGCTGATACAGACTATCTCACAGTATACTGGTTCAGTTTAGTCAGTGTAGATGTTTGTAAGGAAGTGTGGATTAGTGTATCTGAAGAACTACACAGAACTAAATCCTGGTTAGAATTATATTTATCCATAAATATTACTTACCATACCTTACGGAAAAAGGTGCAATAATGGAAATAAAGTGAAAGACATCATTGTCAATCAATCAGTCAGACTTTATTTGTATAGCCCTTTTCATACAAGCAAAATGTAACACAAAGTGCTCCACACATTACAAAGTAATAGAACAGATTAAGATGTATAAATACATATATACATAAAAATAAACAGAGTTATCAAAAGAAAAAGGATTCAAATGTATAAATAGAAAAAGGGGATAAATAATAATAATAATAACATAAATAGATAGACAATTAATTAAGTAAATAAAAATAAATTAAAAGCCAGACTAAAAAAGTCTACACTCTGTGCTGCTCTCAGGTCGTCAGGAAGGCTGTTCCAGAGACGAGGACCATAATGATGAAAAGATGCCTCCCCGTGTGTCTTTGTTCTGTCTTTTGGGATGATTAAAAGGCCACTACCTGAACACCTGAGTCATAGTGTAAAACAAATCTGATAAATAAGTAGGGCTAAGACCATTAAGAGCTTGATAAACCAATAAAAAGTATCTTAAAATCCATTCTGAAGCAAGCTCTCATCGCTTTATTTACCATGGTTATATTTATTTTTATTTTAGTACATTAACTTACATTACATTCACTGCCATTAACTTGCTTATGAAATGTGGCAAGTCATGACACAAACACATTTTGTCTTGGCACTCAGAGAAGAGATCAACAACAAGGAAGATAAGCAGCACAAGCAGTTTTCACACTCAGTTACCTGAAGTAAAATATAGCTCTTCTCATCACTTTTATTGCCTTGGCTAAATGTTCCCAGACAGCTTGCATCATTTAACTATACAGTAGGTAATAAAGTAACTACCCAATGTCATCAGTTTGTTGACGATTGTGATGACACAACATACTGTAATATATCATCATTAATGAAGACTTACTGGCTATTCTAACAGTTCTTAAATGTGGCTCCAGAAATATGTCTGCAACATCATCATCACGACTGGCTGTTCATCAAGATTCAAAACAGGATAGAGCAATGAACATTATAGGACTAGAAATGGCGTCATTTATTTGTTTAATTATGAGTCTAAAATGGTAAAACATGAATAGATAAAATAATTGAAGCTCTAGTCCAGCACCTGTTTTTGAGGGTTTTGTCCATGAGTCCATCTTGTCACAAAATGTGCAGGGACGTAGACATGGTTAAATTGTTTTCATCAAGCAGGTCTGTCTGCACAATCTATAAAAATAATAGCCTCTGATTGATAAAGAGTACACACCGTTTTCACTGTACCCCGTGTGTGGTTGTGGAGAATATGCTGATGAGTGTATTATCCTGTCACTCCTACCGAAGTGTGAAAGGGAAAAGAAATGGTCGTGCAGCGAATGATAATGATGATATTACTCTAACAACAGGGTATTAATCACTTTGACAGCTAAAGTGTTGGAGTTTCGGATGAATTCTTTTTTGTTTGTTTCTCTGTTCGCAGGTTTCTGCAGAACAACAGCCTCCAGTTTATATCCAAACATGCCTTCAGCGGCATGCACAATTTAAAGAGATTGTAAGTATCCCACTTGCTTCATTAATTGCGTTAATATCTCCTGAGACAACTATATTGATTTTTATTTTTATTCAGATTCAAATATCAATCCTAAACTAGGTTACTCCAGTAAGTATGTTAAGGTCAGAAAACATAGCTATTTTACGGGGTTTTACGGGGTTTAGCCACAGTGAGAAATTCTAGATGTAGCTTAGAACATACCTCTTCTGTGAACAATGAGTGACGTCAGATAGATTTTTATCAACAATAATGATTATAAAACAATGAAGACAACAACTCCCATGATCCCACACTACTACATGATGTCAAACCATGTCTTTGTAAATGTTTTAGTGTGACCTAGCAGCAGAAAATTACACACTGTACGTTTAATCAATATGAGATCCATAGTTTCAACCGTTTAACTTGAGATGATTACAGATGCCTTTATTTCATCCCACATCGACATACTCTAGCGCACTTTTCTCCTCACTAAGTTTGTGTGCTCGTAATTGTCTGCAGTAAGTTCAGAACGCCGCAGCACGATTACTCGCAAGAACAAATAGACGGTCCCACATTACTAAGGGAGTTATATCTGTGAAAAGCGCTATTTAAGTAAAATTTACATACTCACTTACTTTACTATATTTATTTAAATCCATCCCTCCTTTTTCTGCTTTTTCTCAGGTTTCTTAGTGAGAACTTGATTTCCTCCCTTAGCCCCGGTGTGTTCAATGATCTCCATCAGTTAGAGTGGCTGTGAGTAACACACACACACACATATGCACCTACAGGATGTCACTGTGTTGTGTACTCTACCGTGGTTATATATGAATGTAGAAGGAAGGACACTGTGTGACTGCTGAAATATACAAGAACACTTCAAAGTTGGCAGGAAGTATTTCTGGCAGTCATTATGTCTGTATGGGCTTTTTCCCTTTTAGATTTTAATTTGTGGTTTCGGGTCCCTCCTGAAAACAAATCCCCTCAATGTGCTTAAAATCATCTGGGTTGCCGTAGGCAAGATGGGAGAGTTGTATTTGTACCCATAACTAATCATAAATTATGGACAGCTGTGTGGATTGAATCTTATTTTTCCTGTGAAATCAAATTTGACTCAAGTGTACCATAAAACAAAAATGAATTTGTGTTCATCTCATGAGGTCAAGAGCTTAGAGAAGTGGATTATTTATTTAGTGGTCCTGAGTTTTGAGCTGTGCACTTTGTTTCAGCCGTGTAACAAGCTACATGTATTCTGCATTCAGACTCAGCAGGTCATACAACAATGACGCTTTGATACCATTAGCCCCTTGACTCCTCACTCTATAATTTGTCTATCTAGTGACAATAAACACCCAAACAGAGAAAATGTAATTAATAAAAACGAGTAAAAAGCATTTACAGTGGGGTAAAAAAAGCTACTTTAATATACCATGTTTTTTTACAGTTAGTCCACTCTGTTATTTGGTCTTGGAAAACATTGTTTTATAATAAACAACACTATCTCAAAAGTTCAACTGATAAGAAAAAGCAGTAGTGTGTCAGTGTTTACTTATGGTACCCTGTAGGTCACCAGTGAGTGAGTGTATGATGATAAGGTGTGTGGTATGGTGTTGTTGTAGAAACATTTCTTAGACACCTCTGATTTACTGTGCTGCTTCAAAGGCATAGTTCCACATTTTGGGATATAGGCCTTTCTTGCCAAGAGTTAGATTACAGGATTGATACCACTCTCATGTCTGCATGGTAACCTACCTTTGGACAGATCAATTTCTGGCTACATTTAATGTACAGACATGAGAGTGGTATCAATCTAATTCTTTATAAGTAAGCAAAAAAGCATATTCCCCAAAATGCTGAACTATTCTTTTAATAACAATTGCATAATTGTTTTTTATTGTTTCCTCTTTTTTTGTCCCAGGATGTTGGATCATAACCCACTAAGCCTCCTGTCCCAGGATACTTTCATTGGGCTCCAGTCTCTCATGTATCTGTGAGTTGCATCATTTTCCCTTAAAAATGTTCTGTTTTAGTGTTGATTAATTTATAATCTTCAACTTGTTTCCAAATGTTTTGAGTTCTCTGAAATGAGGAATTTCAGATTTCTGTTGTGCATGCGTGTGAATGTATTCAAAAAATTTCTACATACACTAACTCAATATACTCAATATTTCAATATAAAACTCAATATAGGAAAAAAAGTATTTTAGTCAGACCACATGTGTATCAGTCTGTCGTGTGAGGCATGCCAGAACTTTTCTACAATCAACTTTCCTCCAAACCTTTCAGGGGAGATCAATAACTTCCATGCATGTCAAATGTCTGCTTAGTTATACAACTCAATTACAGGCCTCATTTGATGCTCAGTCATGTCTTGTGTTATGATGGTGATCAAGTATCAAGAGAGTCAGCCGAGCCTTACAATGGATGTCAATATATCAGTTTCTCCTGGCTAGTGTTGTTCATTTCAAAAGCCAGCAGCTCAAATCAGGTCAGGTTTATAGAGCACATTTCAAAACAACAGGCTGATCAAAGTGATTAAAAATGCAGTTACAAAATAATTCTGTCTGTATTTCTTAGAGGAGATGCACTTTAATAGTTTTCTCTTATAAGATTCTCTTAAAAATGTTTAAAAATGAAACCATGATTGTTTCCATCCTTACAGACCACTTCACATTTCTGTCTCTCTTTATCTCTCTCCGTCATCGCCCTTCCACTTCCCTCCTCTCCATCCAGTCTCCCTGCATCACTGACCTGGCTTGGCTCAGCCCTCACTATTGTTCTTTGTGCAACATCAAGATTACACTAATGCTCTCCCAGTTTTTTATTTAAGTCACATCTCAGCCCCTTTCACACTTATCTGCCCACAGTTCATCTCTCCACTTGACTCAATCTCCCTGTGTTTTCTTTTTAACAGCTATCTTTTTCTTTTTAATGTTTATGCTTGAAAGATAAAAGCCCCTTTAAATCTGTTCTCACTCTGTCTGCCTAGTCAAAGAGTGTTTGTACCTCCTGGGAGTGACTGTTAGACAGGAGTGACCGTATGCCTCTCTTTTGGTTTTCCCCGTTCATCAGTGGAATCAGCGAGGAGTCGATCCTTTGTTTCTGGTCTCTGCTTCGTCTCCTCTGAAGTGGTCCCACCCGAAATATCAAAGTCTGTTTTTAATCTGAAAACTGTGTGGAACTGAGATGTGTCGACTATATTGTAACTTTTCAGTGTCTAAGGGGGATTTTACTCCCTTTAGTTAAAAGACCATATGAGACAGGTTTCATGTTCTACCCCATTAACTACAGATATAGATACATATGCTTTGGTTTATTGCCTTCCATTTTTCAAAGCAAAGGCTTTTACTCTAATTTCCCCTCTTCCAGGCAAACATTTCTGTTCATTTCAGGACTTGCAGAGACTTGAAAATGACCTGAGATAGGTAACACATGACAGTGAATTTGGTATTTTATCCATTGCTGATTGGTAATGCTGTTGTGAGCAGATATCCTTTTAAACATTGTCATTTTTGAGAGCTGAAGAACACCATATCAAAGATTTGCAGTGGGATTGATATTCAATCAGTGACCAACAAAAAACCTCAATGGCAAATATGAACTTAAATAAATTAAATCAAATTAATAATTAAATTAATTCAATAAATAGCAGTGTACGTTTGTTCAGTTTTTTCTTTTTGCATTAAAAGGTTGTGTGATGTTGGAGAAAGCCACATCAAATCAAAGGATAATGGATGTATAGCTTAATCTCAAGCATGTTTTAAGTCTCTCAAAGTTAATTTTCATTCTTTAAATTAAAGGAAACCAACTGGAAGTTGAAACAGTTGAAAAATGCTGCAATATTCAAGTAATATTTATGCATTGCAAGTTTTCTTATGCATTTTAGGTAATTAGGTCATTAGATATCGCAGTTAGCAGACATGGCATGACAATACTTGAATAACATTCCTTTATTTATATTTGCAGTATAATAATAATCATTGCAAGGTGCGGTGATATTAGTCATTTGTGCATGACTGACACTTAATTTCCTGTTGTCTAGCCCATTAGTCACTGCCTTTCTGTTGCAGTAGCTTTCTAAGTTTTGTAATTTATCCTTGTCAGTTCCTTCTCTTTTTTTCAAAATAAGCCCCAGATCTTTTGTATCCAGGTATTGAAGCTGTTGGAACAGTGAATCGGCTCTGTCCTGTAGTGGTGGGAACTCCGGCTGTGTAGAGTTGTAATCTCTATTTTGCAATAACATGTTTTTTCCCTCTCGTCAGATCCATGGTAGACACCTCGCTGCAGCATCTTCCTCACCCCAGCTTCTGTCAACACATGCCCGCCTTGGACTGGCTGTGAGTCTGCTCTGACAGTGTACTTGGCGCGTGTGTGTGTGTTTGTACGCATACATAAAAATAAATGAGGCTGGTAGATGGAGGTTACAGGTTGTGCAGCTGACAATGTGAGGATCAGATCAGAGTGGTCCTCCTGACTACCTGGGAGGTGAAGTGTCCTCACCTGATGTCAGCAAAGTCGGTCAGCTCGACCAACTATTTCTGGTTAGCGAGTGCGGACTGGAGAGTGCCTGCTGGATGAGTCTAATAACGACCCTTTATGACTGTTAGCAGCTGGTCTGCACTCATACACACTCCAACAAACAATGACTGTCATTTTTTCTTATCAAAATAATAAAATACATTAATGTATTTCAGTTTTGACTAAACTTAAAAGTAAACATACATTTTTTCACAAAATCAAATTTACTCTAGCAGCACTATACACATATTTACATGTGAACGCAACATGTGTATCTTTGTCTTGTTAAGTGTACACACTGTGTTCCCCCTCCCATGTCTTTCTGCTCTCAGGGATCTTGAGGGAAACCAGATTCAAACTCTCAACTACTCTATCTTAAAGACCTGCAGCAAGCTTGAAGTTCTGTGAGTATGCCATTTTAAAACTTAATGAAAGCCAAAATGCTTGAAACACAATCGATTTTATCACTGTACAAGAGTCATAAGACATGTTTTCATTCCATTTAGGGAGCTTTTAAAGTCTATACCCCCCCTCCCCTACAGATTAGGTGCATATGCGTCATAATAATTTATTTAGCAATGAGTTTCTGCCATCAGTTATGCCATATTGTCTTTATCAACAAAAAGCTTTCTTTCAGCCTAGTGGTTTATGTCAAAATGTTAAATCTTAATTCAGCTTTGTTCAATACAGTAACATTTTTACCACTCTGTATGCAGAGTAAATAACGTTTAAAGAATCTGGCTGTATGTGTTGTGGTATCAACTTTTCCACAACAGTTTACATTTGAATTCAAATTCAGGTCCTTTTGCTAAAAAGTTGGAAATGTCAGACCTTTAGCTGCCTGTGACTCTTGCTGCTTCAACAGAAAAACAAAAAAAACATTGCATATTTAGGACCATTTGAGCTACACTAATCAGATGAAATTGTCAGTGACAGTAAATAAAATTTGATCATTTAAGTTGTGGACTAACCCTGGGAAGCTCAGTGTATCTCTGGAGTGCTGAACACTTAGTGGTCCATAAACACAATCTGGTTTCCATGTTCCTGTTCTGTTTCATATTTTAGACAAAAATAATGAAATTATGGATTTTTCGTACTTTTTTCTTCTACTTCATCATGAAGAATCTGAGTTTCGTCAGAGTTTGCATCACTGACAAGTTGGACTAATAATAATCAAGACAGACAATTACATATGAACTGTGAATTAATAAAATACCAGTGTATAGGAATTAGTGACATATAGCGATGTAGTTGTAGATTATAACTCGCTTCGCCCTCCCCTTCCAAGTGCAAAGGAGAACCTACGGTCAAAAATCCCCCCTATCTACAGCCAGTGTTTGGTTTGTCCATTCTGAGCTACTGTAGAAACTGTAGATATTAAAAGCTCATTCTAAGGTAACAAAACAACAATTCCTATATGCAGGTCATTATACACTAATGAAAACATATGATGCATATTATATTCAATTTCTGCCAATAGCTCCTCCTAAATGTTACACACTGGACCTTTAAGAGATTCCAGTTCAGCTTTCCTCTGTCTCTATCTCTCTGTCACACACACGCAAGCACACCAGACACACTTGTCTACCTTTATTAATTTCATTAGTGGAAATAAACAACAACAAATGCTTGGCAGCGTGCCATGTTCCATCACATTACCAAGAAGTAGGTCGAACAAGGACACAAATAGCTGTATCTCCTCAAAATGTGTTAACATTTAATAACTGCAGACACAGAAGAGCATTAATCAATAAATAATATATTAATATGTATACACATAGCACAAAAGGTTTACCTTGCAATGACAGAGTTATTGGGTTTTAACATTGGATTTAAAAGAAGGCAGTAACCTTACAAGGCTGAGGTGATGAAAGAGGCCCAAACAGCATTTTTCACCAGAAGGGCTCAAACAGTGATGACAAGGCTCAGAGGGGGGTAAGCTGAGATGTAGACAGGAGTGTAATCACTTTCAAAGGCAGACAGTGAAGGGTAGCATAGATTGATGTACTGGCAGCAGCTTTTTGCAGCTACAGACAGGAGATATTTTTTCTCAAAAAGTCCAAAGTAAGGGGACTTACAGTATTCAAAATTTGTAGCATTTTCAAGTTACTCAAATGACAAAGGAACCTGATTTTAACACTATGCCTTAATATGATTGTACAACTTTGTCACAATGAACATCAAATTAAAATAATATAAAACTACAACCAATTTATACTCATCAAACTGAGGAAAAAGTGTCGAGACTACCCTGAGACGTTTGATAGAGTTACAAGAAACAAATGGAAGGCATCACTTGCATGAAGGACATGTAAAGACGTCCAGCACTTAATGACTGACAAGCAATGCACGGCAAGGTAGAGAATACACTTTACTTAAGCTGCCAAGCATAAATACAAGCTGTCTGCTTTGATGTCCAAACAGCGTTAATAAATCTAGAAGGAAGCTTCTGGTTTTCATGTTTGCCAGCGCCGTTTTTATTTTTAGGAATCTAACAAGCTGCTGTCGCTTTCTTTTCAGTGCCGTCAGAGGTCACATTAGTCCACCAGTAGGGAGAGTTAGTCAGTTATAATGTCCTCAAAACCAAAAAAACAAACTTAACAAGAATCTGTGATCATAATAGATTAAACAGAGATGAAAACCAAGCACTCCACTCAGTCAACTCTCGGCTTCAGAATGAGTGTGAAATGTGTGCAATCTAGCTTCACCTTTTCTGTGTACAGGAGTCATGTTGAATCTTGTCAGTCTAGCTGACAAAATGATCCGGCAGTATCAGTATCTGTAAATGGGGCTCATGACAGGAAGGTCGACAGTTTGACTACAGGCGATGAAGTAGAAGAGCAGCGCTTATTTGTCCCGAAGATGTCTTTCAGCAAGGAATTGAACTGCCATCTTCTCCCTTGTTGCTCTGTTGTTCTATGTAGCATCTGTGCGTAAATACGTGAATGTGTACAAGAGGAGTTTAAAAAAGTTCTATATTCAACACAGAAACACTGCCTGTTTTTTTCAGGCATAGCTGTTTAAGTCAGCACTGAGTCATTGTTAACAGAAGAAGCATTGTGGGAGTTGGTAGCCATATGTTCAGATACTGCAACAAATGAGATTGCATCCAGCCTCAGCAGGGATCCACTACAGGGGAGCGGAGCGCAACTTTGCACATGATACTGACAGCAGCTCTGTCCTGTTCAGATTACTGATGGACAACAGGATCAGAAGAATTCCTGAAAACACCTTCCAGTCTCTGTGGAAACTGGCTGAACTGTGAGTAAAAGCCAGTTTGTTTTTGTCTTTATCATTCTGTTTACATAATCAATTCACTTTTTATCAACTGTCATTGATTAATAATAGGTGGCATGTGTAATCGATCACTATATTTCAGTGGAGACTGAAATGTCTATTTGAGAATTATTAAATGCTCTGTATGGAGTTTCTTATTTCTGATTGAAAATTGATTTTCAAACCCATCAGCAGACATTTGTCAGATATATACATTTATTTGAAAAGACTCAATCATGAACAGGCACATTCTTTTCAGCTATTTATTTCAAATTGAATGATCAGTAAGTGAGAACTCCTGCTTATTGTCACTTATTATTTGGTTAGGATTAAACCATTCCCAGAACAAACAATATATAATTACAATATGAGCACATCATGTCTCTATTAGTGGATTTTGTCAATTATATTTCACTATTAAATTCACCAGAAGCCTGAAGCTGATGATTGATAATGCTGATAGTTTGATGGACCTTCTAATGGCTACTTACATACTTTAACTAATGATTAGTATAATATCAGGATTCTGAGATTTACAGAACAACCATTATAGTGGATTAACCCTAAGAGGTGAGACATATAATCACATCACAGAGTGGCAAAAGAAAATGTAGAAGAACTTTGATTCACTTTATGTAAACAGAAAATATTTGTGTGTTTCCACTATTCATGCTTGAATGAGTAAACTCTGAATATAAGTGCATCTGCACTCATTTTGCTTTTGTCTGTAGAATTAGCATTTCCTTTTTTCCCTTCTCATTTTTCTCTTTAATTTTGTTTAGGAATCTGTCCAGCAACAGGATAAGGGAGCTGCCAAAAAACACCTTTAAGAACCTCTCCAAGTCCCTCCTTAAACTGTGAGTAACTGTCTGGAACTGCAAGGAGGGGTATGCTTCTTTATGTGAGGATTATTGGAGGGGATTAGGGGGAAATGGAGTATATTAAGTGTAAAAACACTATCCAGTTTTGTGGGATTTAGAGGACATGACTTTAACTTCATGGGAAAGAAAGAAAATTGAAGTATTACGCAGAACAAAAAGGTTCTCTTTTGGTGGACATTTCTGTCAGAGATGTTATTGTTGTCAAACTCGATAAAATAAGTGCTTGTTGTTTTATAGGGTACAAATCAGGTTATATACTGAGTTTAGTGTGCAAACTCTGCATACTCCATAAATGTTGCAGTGATAAAAGTTTAGCATCTGAAAGTTTGAGGTTGGATTCTAGTCCACTAAATATTAGAGGAAAATGATTACTCTATTACATTTTACATTACATTACATTTAACTCTACTACATTTATCTTACAGTTATTGTTCCTAGTTACCTTACAAATCAAAATTTTACATACAGCTTATAAAATATGATGCATTGTTATACTGTACACTGTAGTTATATTAACTAGTATTTAAATTAGTTAAAATGAACTCCACTCTGACCAACTACAACAGTAACATGCTGCTTACACATTATTGTATCAGTAATAATAATTCAGTCATATGATATAACACTCCACATAAAGAGTACTTTTGATACTTTAAGTACATTTTACCTACTTTTTTTTACAGGTCCTTGTTACCATATTCAAATCTTTTACTTAACATCTGCATATTTCTCCCATCACTGGTGAAAGGTATAAGTAGGCACAGAAATACCAAAAATGGAGCAGATGGTCTCCACAAAATAAAAACTGTGTTGCAATTCTTTGCATTTTGTCGTTGAAAATAATATTAGGCACAGCAGTGTGGGAAGATAGGCAGTCTGCGCTGAAATTTCAATATAATATGGACAAAATAACTCACAGTAGATTTTTGCTGTGCACCTTTGTCTCTCTCTCTCTCTCTCTCTCTCTCTCTCTCTCTCTCTCTCTCTCTCTCTCACCCCAACTGGAA